AGAACTTTATTAGTATAGCTCTGTCCGTGCATCTTCCCAGCTGGCTGCAAATTAAGAGCAGACATCGGCAAGGTTTTTTGCTGTTCTTTGGGGCAATTTCTCAGCCCTATCAAACCAGCCTGCTTTGTCTGCAGTGCTGTCTTTATAACTTGGATGCTTGCAGAAAGCAGTTCAGGTTCAAGGAAATGGTCTCATTGACCTTTTGCTTACCAGGATTTGACCTCTCTGAATGTACAGCCAGATGCCACCTGGGGCTCTGAAGTCTTACTTGTTTGTCACGGCACTCACTTCTAGGACATGTATTCATGCAAAATTATGATATATATGAAGCTGCAAAAAAGGAGAATAACTTTGGTGCACAAAAACCCAGCTGGGAAGAAAACATCCAATCTTTCCATCTCTCAGGAATGTTTCCAGGGCATATAGCATTCCTTGCATTCCAGCAACGCTTTTGTCAAAGTGAAACTTTTTATCTTAAGCAAGGAGACTGCTTCCAACATGCCCTTTCTTGTGGAACTACTGGAAGAGGCTCTTTACAGAGCTGCTCCCGTTTGGCTGGGCTTCTCCCACAGCTTAGTACTGCTGTTGATTCAGCATTCAAGCACAGAGGCAGGGCTGAGTCTCTAAATGCAGATTCTGGAGATGTCTGTGTTGCTTTCACTTCCACAGCTTTAAAACTGGGGATACCTGCTATCTGAATTCTAGAGAGGACTGTGAAAAAGTGTTTTAGTGCTGGAAGCAACGTTATGCTGACACATAAAACCTGTTACCAGAAATGTTCTTCTTCATAAAATGTTTGTTTATTTACACGAAACTGCTGATGTTTTCTGTATCAAAATATCGTGTTTTCTTATATGTCTTTGGGAGAACTTTCAGACTCTTGCTTAATGTTTAAGCTGCAAACACAGCACTGCTCCAAGTGCTTCACTCCTTGTATTTCCAACACTCATGACACTTAGGACAGGAAAACAAAATTCAAATCTGTTCAGCAGCTGGAACAAAATTTTAAATGCAAGACATATATTTCACCATAGCCATACATATGGTGTAATTATCTCAACATTTCACAAAATGAGGACATAGAGGAGCTTTTACTCCATGCCAACTTTAAGACCAGGTAACTACCCTAAATTCTGAAGCGTCTGCAGATACAGGAATGTTTGTCTTTTGCATCTTTCTGTTTGAACGTTAAATTTTTCTGCCACTTTCCCAAAACTGGAAAACACGTTCAAACAGATAAGCAAATGCTGAACTTGCAGTGGAAACAGGACCTAGAGTGAGGCATATGCCTTGCACGTGCTTTTTTTTGCTCTCTCAAACCAAGGTCTTGAGCAGGTTATTTCACAAATATAAATGCTGGAGAGGCTGACTGAAAATCAGCAGAAGATGTTAGAATATTCTGGGTAGTGAGCCAAACCTAAGAAGCTTCATTTAAAAAAAAATTTAAAAAGGGGGGGAGGGAGAAAAAAAAGCATGCGAAGTATTTGGCTTTTGGATATGAAATATGTTGTTGTGTCCCACTCTCACTTCCCCAATTCTCAACTGTCTTTCAAAAGTATACTTCTGCATGCATATGCACAAGATTTGACAACATTCTAATATGTATTTTCCTCCCATTGCTTTTCCAGAAAAAAGGAGGAGGAAGTATTTTGCACTATTGAGTATAAAGTCTCCCTCCTACCTAGAAATTATTGCCTAGAATTTAAAACTTGGTGACCTAAAGAAGCCCTCTACAAACATCCTTTTGCTGTTTGTCACTGGTTTATCAACATTTTCTCCCCTTTTTTCCCAGTTTCTGCTGAAAGGGCAGGAGCTGTGCTTAGCTGGAAGAAAAACATTTTACTTGGAAACACTTCAGACTGCAAAGAGATTGACTGATGGTATTTTGCTACTCAGAAAACATCAGCCCATTACTACAGTCAAGACACTGTAGCATGCCATGATGGTCCTGTTCAAGTGCTAGAAGCTTCCAGAGACCTTCACATCATTGAAAGAAAGCAAGCGTAGATCTGCTTGTTCATCTCTCATCTCTTCTACTGTAACTGGTCTAAGCAGGCAGTTAATTTACCAGAACAAAATTAGCTAAATGGTCTCACTCACATACCACGACAACACATGAACTGTCAAAGCGTCTATAATGCTGAAGCTGCAGCTGAAGTAAGGGTAACAGACTGTACGTGTGTGTTTTAAGACCACTGCAGATTCATGTCTGGGAATTTAATAGCCATTTTTGCTAAAGATGCACATTTCAAATGTTTTGAAAATGTGGCTAAAAAAATCAGTTTTTTATTTTGACCTGCAGCTCTTCTAAGCACCCTGTTACCCTCCTGCAAAATTTCTGGGTTAGCAGTACATAAGTCTTCACAGAGATCTTAAAAATATAGTCACAGGTTTGTGCAGGAGTTTAGGTGAAGTTTTACATTATAGTCTACATTATATAGTAGCTTAGACTAGATGATCCTAATGTTCCCTTCTGGATCTAAAATCCATCAATACATATTTTTAAAAAGAAAGGAAGCCTCTGAGCATGATTACCACTTCAAACATACAAAAGAAATGAATAAAGTATGATTTGCTCCTTTAAAACATGCACTAGAGCTGTCTTCAGCAAGTAGCAACTACTAACCCTGCAGAAACACGTCACTTAGACTTCATAACGAAGGAGTCAGGCACTGGAAAGAAATCTCAGCCCAACAATCAACAGAGAAATACTTAAGAACGTGTCTTTTGTAGGAGACAGCAACTGCAACACATGCAGTCAATACCACAGGGAAACGACCCACGCTCTTTAATATACAGGATCCACTCAGAACTCACACAGGTGACAAGAGGCAAGAAAAATCTAACCTCTAAGGTCTGTGAAAAGCACCAAAATAAAAATGTCACGGAAGAGTAAACAATGTATTTCCTGGGGATATTATTTTGTCTGTAGACAGAAAAAGTAGAAACATCTTCTCCAAGAACATGCCTAAGAAAACAGAAGATACTGCTAAGAAGCCTGTTGGCTATGATCCTGCTCACGGCTTAAAATTTCTTCAAAAAACATTGGTGCCTCTTTCACCCACTAGCTCCCTGCTATGGAAAAACACTTCTTCAGAGTCTGGAAAATGCTGTTTGATCTCAGTAAATTACATCTCACTGCTTGTCGGTTTCTGATTGATGGTGTAACTTAGGGAACAATATCTGTATGTGGAATAGTGTCTGGAGAAGCAGTCAGGGATTATTGAAAATACAGTATTTATGCAGTTTAAAAATCAGTGGAACATTACGTATAATTTTTTTCTAGAGTAATGAAAAATTACTGAAGTGCATTTGGGAACAAAGGGTATAAGGTCTTTTGTCTATTTTTAAAAACACTTGGCTGGTAAGACTTCTTAGTGAGTTAGTAGTGATGGATGCAAGAAAAAGTGTCCACTGCAGTTGAGCATAAAACCAAATGCTTCTCCAACCAATGAGCAGAAAGGAAGACGTCACTGTTCAGTGGTGGTTAGAAAAGAGGGAATAAAATAAAGTTGAAGAAAAGAGAAGGAAAATGAACCAAGGATCACTGATTTCTCTAAGCCATTTAAAACTACTGGAGAAGGAAGAAAAGTCTAAGGTTTCATCACACCATGTGTTGTTTCTTCATCTATCTAACACGTCACAGCTAGCTGGAAGACTACAGCTACTATGGAAGCAACAGCCACCTCCTCAACAGAAATAATTCTGGAGTTAGTAAATTCAAGGGCTCAGTATTGACTTACACAAGCCACAGGTATTACTTTATACACACTTCACCTTCCAAAACATCATTTGAATCCTTAAGGTCCTGCCATGACACAACGACATGACAGGACTGAAACAGACACCAGTACTTCAGCCACAGAAAGACCATGACTGAGAACAATTATGGAACCTACACAACATACATCCTACACTAGACAGAAAGAGGAGAACACTAATTTCAGTATAGAAAGAAAGACAGGCAAATGAAGAAGGATGCTGTTATCAGTGCTGTGACTCTGTGAAATAAAAAAAAACAAACAAAAACAACCCACTAAAACTTGGCAGGTGTAAAGTGATTGAAAAAAAGTACTTCCTACAGACCATACAAAATTAAATTGCCAAGTTCACTGATTGGTACAGAGAAACAAAATGCGTGAAAAGCTTATTGTCCTGGCTCAAGATACCTTTGAATGCCAGAGGGTGAAGATTTTGTTCTCTGTTTCTCTTATTTCTCCAGCATCATTTACTGACCTGATTCACTGATGGAGAGACAGCTCAGTGGAGTTGGATTACTCCAGCAGAGCCATGTTAACACCTGCGTTAACACTGTCTGCTAGTGTTGGGAGTTCTGGGAGTAAGGGAACAAGGAAGTCCGATAAACACTGTCAAAACCACAGGGTAAATTCACCAGTGCTGCAATTTACTGCGCATTACAGTAATCCTTCAGAGAGCCTGAAACACAATATGGAAAGAAAGATTTATCTGCAGTAGTTTTAAATTAAGTAACATGGTATGATGAGTTTGGGAAAAAAAAAGAACGGAAGCTAGTCTGCAAGTGGCTTCATTACATGGTTGGGATGCAGGAGTAGTTCCCACATGTGGTTTAGAAAGGATGGCAAAGGCTCATTGGGAGGCCTGTGGAAAAAATGACAGCATTTCTGAGAAGAAAGGTAATTCTGAGGTTGGAGCAAAGATGGTTATTTATTCCTATGAGGGAGCCAGGTGGTAAGCACCACAGATACCACCTCAAGTGCTGTACAACTTAAGAGACATACGTTAAGTGCAGAAGGTAGAGCTGACTGGACTCCTGAACCATGAGGCTTCGAAAGTGCAATACTGCATGACTGTACATCATCAGCCTTACTTCACCACCACACTACACGCCTTCCAGAAATCAGACACTATCTTTAAAACACCTACGTTATATGCTTTGCCTCCTTCCCAGCAGCAACCCACACCTCCTGGGTGCAGGTCCAAGGCAAAGTGGGGCCACGCAGCCCAGTGGGTGCACTTACCTCTTGCTTTTGACTCCGAGGAGGAGGGGATGTCCTCAGAGGCCAGGATTTGGGGGAGGCACATGGGAGCACCAACCCCCTGTCCCAGGTAGGAAGCAGGTGGGTAGTAGGAGCACATGCGGTACTGGGAGCTGACAGCGTGGTGTCTCTCCATGCCCTTCACCTGCCAGGAGAGAGAAATTCAACAGCAGCCTGTGAAAGTCAAGCCCTAGTGCCATAGGGGCAACCCTACTATCCCTCCCCCCTACTCCTCCATGGCTTTGAAGGAGGTCACAGTGGGTGCATGGGAAATAAAATTCTGACATGCTGGCCTTGGGTTTTTCATTTGTGGCTTCACAGTCTGTCCACACTGACCAGCTACAGGCGGTCTGGTATAAGATGTGATCCAGCACCAGCAGCAGACCCAGCTAAGGCTGCTTTATCTTACTGCAGATGGAGATGCATCTGGCACAAAAGCAAGTACCCTTCATTGCAAGCAGCTTCCTGCCAAGTCCCCAGCTTATGGCACACACAAGTGTATACACCTGGCCAGTGTCAGAGGTGAAGTGTCCATCCAGCTCCTACATCTCCCCAAAGACTAACCCATCTCAGATTGCTGATAACTGCTCTGCCAGGGACCTGCTGGGTGGCTAAGGGGGACAGTCCTATCGACCGACTCTCACAGGATATGCTCCATGGAGTTGAGCAGTGACACACACAGAAACAAGCACCCTGTTTTTCTCACAACACTGTAAGATGGGAAAAATATTTTCCTGAGTTACCGAAAAAAAGCATGTTGTGTTTAGACTACACAGGAAGCCGGTTGTGAAGCCACAAATGGACAGCAGCCTGCAGGTCTGCCATGTCAGCACAGCATCCACCAGATTTCCCTTTCCCCTCCCACAGATTGCAGCGAAGTGGCAACACTCACACATCAAATCCAATGCCCTGATATCATCCAAACTGATCTCCTCAGAGGAGTGATACATTAAAATTTGTGTTTTATGAAAGAACTACCAACTTACTATTATTTGTTATAAAGCCCTACAATGCGACGTAGCCTCAGTGCTCAAAAAATGCAGCCAGAACACGATTAACATTTTCAATTGGAAAGATAAGACTAGCTGGTTTCCCTAAGTATGCTAGGAAGTGAATGACTGAAAGATGGAAAGCTTCTGGGCAGAGACAAAATGTCAGAAGAGTTTTGTACCGGTTATGATAGTAGCAGTGGTAATAATAATGCACCTCCAGCTACGCCATACACAGTGTCTAAACACAGACATGCTTGACAGCCTTTTCAGCCACGTCCCGTCTCAGGTCTGCCTGCTCCATGGTGGTTTCCCTGGGTCCCAGGCAGCTGTGGCTGGAGTTCCGCCCCTCAGCCCTTCCCAGGCTGCAGAGCGCAGAGCCAGGGGGCAGGGGAAGCTGGAATCTGCAGTCCCAGACAGCTGCCCCATGCCAGCAGACCTACAGCGTCTGGTCCTGGCAGTAGAAACCACCAGCACCTCCTGGAATCACCCCAGAATGCAGTCATCCCCTTGCTTTGCAAGAGTCCCTGCAAGAATTCCATATTCTTTTTCATATGCCTCGCTGCAAATAATGTGTCCCTGTTAGTGCTCTCTGAGGCATGTTTGCAATGAGATTAAGAACAGAGAGAGAGAGAATGGTGGCTGTTCCCAGGAAGCAAAGTGCACTGACTTCTGACAGCAGCATAGTTGCATACACTTGCACACGTACTGAGGGACTTGCTTTTAGCCATGAAACTTAAGAGGTTTCTAAACACTAAATTGCTCTTCAAAAATTCAATGAGTCATCCTGAGGAAGCCTGAACGCTAAAGAGCTAATGACATTGCTTCTCCTCTTCTGCCGAAGGGCACTATCCTTTTTGAAAACAAGACTCTCTCAACAAAACCTTGTCTCTGTGCAATACCAAGTGCCCAAAAGCACAGTCCAAAGGGCATTTTGAATCTGCACATCTACAAAGCTCAACAGCCCTGGAAGTACTGGGAAAAAAAGTTAGCAAACTCCTCACTGTCTGCTGTGTTGCACACAGTCTTCCTTCCCTCGATGGGGCAGGGCAGCATCCACAGACCTCACATCTCCACTTCTCCCTTGTGTAAGGCACACGTACAACTGAGAAAAGGTTGCCTGCATGAGAGACTACTTCAGCCGTAACAAAATGGAGGGATCACTCCCTGGCACTGACTCGATCATGCGCATATCTCCCCTCCCTGTAGAGTGGATGCAGTGATCCGTCTCCTTTCAACACCTTTTTTAGGGGTTTTCTCCATTTCTTAAAAAAACAACTCACCTAAAATCCCCAGATGCAATGAATTATTACTACTATTATTATTAGTGTGTGGTAGCTGGCTAGCAAGAGACATGTTTTATAATCTTATTACCCACACCAAGTCTATGAACCACAGTTCAACCGACAGCCAGAGGCTTGGCTCTGCAAAGAATATGCTGTGTATTAACCACTGAAGAAAATCTAGAAGCTTTTGGTTTTGTTTTATTAAACTGTTTAAAATCCACACCACAGTAAATCTGAACCCTAAGGTTTCCTTTTTATAGTGCTTAGCAATCCTATTTTACAGTAACAATAAAAAAACAACCAGTTGTAAAAATTCTTGACCTTAGCGCTGCATTAAAAAGGGGGCTTAGGAGACCACATCCTCATGAGAAGGGACATTTGTTCTGTATTAACTCCTGCAGCTCTGTGGAATCCTTGCAGGTTTTTGTGTGCCAGAAAGGGAGATCAAGACAGACTTGTGAAAGCCCTGGAACATTCAATTATTTTCAATGTGAGGCAGTTCAGCTTTCCAAATGCTACAGTTAGGTACCAGGTTTAGGATCCTATCCTAGGTCCTGTCCAGGGGGAATGCTGGGGTCATGCATGGATCACAGGAGAATGCCTGGCCTTCTGTTGTCTCCTGCCTCCCTTGCCCCTTCCCACCCCTACAACAGACTGAGACAGGCATGAGCTGGGACAGTCCCATAAACCACTCTGGTTTGCATTCACTGCAGCCTCCATGCCAAAGAATAAGGCATGCTTTAGGTGAGCAAGAGCTGCAGAAGGAAAAGGCATGCATTAGTCTTCACAGAGGGCAATCTGAGCTCCCTTCCAGCCACTCACTGCTTGTGCCCTGCTCCAGCTGCAGGATTCACCAAGTACCTCACAGACTTCAGTGGGAGACACATATCATTGGAGCAGCAGTTGGCCTATGCAACATTTACAGCTTCTCCTGAATTGTACAACACAGCACACACTCAGTAATGTTTTAAAAGATGTACTGCAAGCAATGGTGGGATGCTTACAATTCATGAACAAATAAATATGGCCTGATTGGAAGGCCATGAGTGCATTGGGAATTCTTTCCTTGCAACTTGAAAAGCCACTGTGAGGAACTGAGAGGCAGCTACAGTTTGCCCTCCCACAGATAAGCTGGAAACAGGGCTTGTGTCACCGAGCAATCATCAGTGATGCCCTCCAGCTATGTCCAAGAGTGACAGCATACTCAGCAAAACCCAGGGAAAACATGAGGAAAAAGTCCTTGCATCAGACCATTTCTGCAAAAAACCTTTCTCAATAGTTGGAAGAGCACGTAAAGTCCAGTTCCTCTTCCCAAGCTTCTGGCAACACCTCCATAACCTCAACAATTCTTCTTCATACAGAATGAGCTGAGGAGAGAAGGTGGCCAAACCAAAACCAGGAAGGTGTCAAAGCAGGCACCAAGTGGTGACTCACCTCTCTAGCCTCAGAGATTAGAAAATGGTCCTGTCCTTCCCAGATATTTATTTAGGCAAAACATCACCTGTGTAATTCTTTTATTTGCAGAAGCTGCCAGACACAATCTCTTTGTGAGCACACCAGTGTTATTTTAGCAGTTATCTTCACACTTTGCAGTTGATCCCGACTATGGGGTTTGTTTCCAAGAAAAACAGGAGGAGGTCATGGATGCTATTCCTGGGTGACAAGGGCTGCAAAAATTTCAAAGCAACACAGGAGATCTAAGTGCAATCCTTCAGCTCTGCCACTGGTGTGTCACATGATCTTGGCCAAGTCACTTTACCCACAATTTCCATCCTTTTATTTCACTCATGACTCAGCAACAAACTTACCAAACTGAGTAATTATGGAAACACCAGAGAAACTCCTCCTTCTGTCTTGATCTTAAAGTCCATTTTCGTGGGCATAAAATTGCATTTGTGTCATTTCTTGCAAACAACAAAATTCACAAGTTGGTTTTTGGCATGGGCAAGAAGGCAGCCACTAGGCAATGAAATGGAAATTCAGGCATCAGTAATCTCCCCTCTGTCACCTGTGAGCTGTGTGACTGCGGCAAGTTATTTAACACTTCCCTGCCTCAGTTTCTGCAGTTATAAACCAGGTTTGCTGCTACTCTCCCACCTTGCAATGTTATTCCTCATGTGCTGACCCTTCACAACTACTGTTGCACTCATACTGCCCAAGGTGTTTCATTCTTGAAACCAGATAAGCATGTTTTCCAGCATAAGGAAAAAATGAGTCTATGATACCCCCTGCCTTGACTTACTTTGATTCTAGCAGAGAAAATACAAGACACATCTATATCTGTCCCTCCTTGATAGACAAACTTAATTAACCTTTGCTATTCTGTTCCAACCTATTCTTTTAGACAAAGGCAGTGACCCATAAACAATATGTTACCATCAGAATCTCAACTGCAGTGACACCTAGAGATATAGCCCTATCAGCAGTATTGGAAAATAAACCACTTAGATTAGCTCCTCCAAGAAATATGGATTGCATTCATGTCACACATGAGCTGTCAGAAACATTAGGATACTTTTAGCATAAATCTGTAGTGTGAAGGGTATGTTATGAATACAGTATATAATTCACTGCTTACACATAAAATTGGGACTGTCTTGAGTGACTTGCACAATGTGTATATATTTACACACACAGGTACACATTTTACACTGACTTTGGAGAGCAAAAATGCAGTTTCTGTAGGAGAGACAGGCTTTTTGGAGGAAAAACTGGGCCAGAAAGCAGAAGCAGGTGGTAGAGGTTGAAAAGAGACATCTTTTTTACTAGCAAGTGGCTATTCTTCCAATTCATAGCTGTCCTATCATAGCCACATTCTTCTGGATTTAGTAAAAGAGAATTTTTCCAAGTTTGGTACTTCTAAGAAATCCTTAAAAAACAGTTTCCTACATCAGCAGTACTATAGATTTCGTTTCCAGATGGAAAATGTAAATCCCACATTAGAAAATAAGTAAAAATTTCTCACCAGTATTTTTGCTCTAAATTTGTATAAGGAAAGAACAAAAAAGTTGAGGTTCTGAAAG